TGAGCTCACGCTGGTGCAGAGTAAAACCCTATGTTCTTAAGTGTTTAAGAGGACTAGCATAGCATTATGCCATTAAGAAGGCTGCCTCCGTTATAATAACATTCTCTAAAAAGGGATGCTTTCTGCAGCGAGATGGTCAAGGGCCAGGGCACACCTTTCCTAATTCGGTTGCCGGCTCCTTGTCGCCCTCTAATGATGGCAGTCCAATGCGGGCGCCTCCACTCCGCTCGCCCCCTTGGTTCGTGACGCATAGGCGAAGCAAACATTCTTGTGCACTGTCCGACCGTTCATCACATCTTGTGATTGGTTAAGCGCATCCAATCGACGCACTAGTCTTGTCATTGGACGTAGGACATGGTAGCACGGGTACGTCCGCATTCGTGGGCTGCCCTGACCTGTTGTGGCAACACGCAACTGCGATGACGGAGGCAGTGGGGCGAGGTGCATTGCGAGTCTTCTCCTCTCTCTAGTTGATTGGAATAAACGTGCTTATCCTACTCACGCACACGAAAAACCTGTCGGAATGCTACTTCGGTCTTTCAATTGCTTTCCTACAATTTCCCGGATGAATACGGAAGAGATGTTTGGTGAGCCTTTGCTTATTGCTAATTTTTCTACAACTCTTGAATTCTTATGCTCCTGGAGAAAGTAAACCAATGTCGTCGTTTCCATATTTTGTCTCCTCAATTGGTCATTTGTAAGGGGTCAGAGATTGAAGAACTATGGACGCTTGAACATTCAATGTTAAGACTGCAATTCAGCCCTAGATGCCACTTGTTCATCTGAACTGACTCAAAATCCATTTGCATTTTCACTCTAATTGTGGACCACGTATGTCATTTACTGATGCAGCATGGTCAAAACTGTGGAATCTCATTTGCCCGTGAAGATTGACATAAGGAGGTGATGACCCCCATGCAAATTCACGTGGTTCGTGATGCGGCGCTGGTCTGATTAGTGATTCAGTCTTTCAATGGCATTGCCCTCAGTTACAAGACATCAACAATTATTAACTGTCAGAATTTCGTTCTGCTTACAGGATCCCGATATGTTAAGAGCAGCAGAAAATGCTGTATTTCGAATGTTTTTAGCAGTATTGGGTCAAATCCTTTTAATAAAACTGGCATGCACTTGCTAGTCACTTATTTATTGCGCTCGTCATCGGTGGCTTCCTTGTAATCATTCCTCCATCGGTGCCTTTGACGTAGTCGTCAGTGCCTTTAGTATATTAGCTTGTGGCTTGCGTTTGGTTCCAAACTATTGAGCACTTCTTGTGGTGGAGTAGAGATTTTTCCATGGTTTGGCGTGTTTCTTTGTGCATTTCTTCTGTGCAGTTTTTTTTGGGAATTAGCGGAGAGGCAGGGTTAACGGCATTAGCCTCAGCATCAGCCTGATGCCATTTACTGCCATCCACTCTCTGGTAATAAGCAATTATCTCTTCAGGTTCTTTTGCGAGCGCCTTTTACTCCTCCAAGATGTTGAGTGCGTTGACTATGAGCTTATGCTTTCATACATGCCTGATTTGCAAGAGGGAATGCACCTACTTTTCTACCCAGGCGCGAAATCGCCTTCGCGTCGAGAGGCTAAGTTATACACGTGTAACTGAACGTAAATACCGTCAACATCAATTAATGCGAAACTGCCATTACTGAGCACCAATTCGTTAAAGTTTCGGTGTTTAACTCCGACGCTTGAAAACGCCGGTTTTCTATTATTCACGATCTCCGATATCTTCGTATGTGTACTCAGACTATCCCGAATCCCACCGAGGCATTTTTTTGCAAGTTCTTTGTTATCACCAAGTCTTGTACGGATCTCCTACAATTTCAGACGTGTTAATGGGAATGCTTACAATTGCACTGATTAAGTCTTCACTTGTTTGAACATCTCAAAGTTCATTATCGTTGCCTTTTCAACTTCAATTTCCCCTTATCCAAAATAATTCAGATGCTATGGCCAATTAACTACGTTTGCGATCTTATTATGGCTTATGCCCGCACCCACTTTACTTACCACTGGGATTCATGTGCCGGACACGTGGGAACGGCACTGGTAACGGCTGCCGCGATGACTCACCTTCCACGTGACCCCAACGACAGTGGATGGGCGATGGTGTTGTAGCGGTTCAAACACTCAGGATGATTTGCAATCAAGTCTTGGAGTCTGTTGCCCTCCATTGTATCATGTTACTACTTTTGACAGCAGCACGATTTCTCCTCACACTATCCTCTACATCGTCCCACATTTTTTGCAGCCATTAACTGCATCTATGTGAGGGGTAGCACGAGCCTTTATCATTTATTTCTCTGGTTCAGCTTTGCGGCAAGTACTGACCGCTGGAAGTTTGAGCTCTATTAGTTTCACATTCGGTAAGCATTGAGCGCTTAGTGTCAGCTACCGGGATTAGGAAAGCCAAGATTCAAATAACTCTGCAGACCAAGTTTTTAATATTGGCAATGTTCCCTTGAGAAAACTGGTTTTCAACGTCGAGGGAACTACGAGCTACCTGTTAATGACAGTCAATCAATGTTTGATGGCTTATCCTACCATGCTTGACGGAGCTGCGCTCATGAAGGCACCGTGATTAACTGGTCTTCTCTGGTACCTTAGGGGCGATTTATGCTCACACCTTAGGCCTTCAAAAAGAGGAGTTCGGAACTGACTTTTCTTTCCACCAACTTGGTAGCTTATATATTACTGGTCATTGATGATTAGTACAAAGGTAGGGTATGCCAACATTCATTTCAATAAGAACTGACATTGCTCTTAAAACGTATCGAAACGTATTTGGACAGCTCCCTTTATTTTGTAAATTGCATCATTGTAAATACCTAGAGCAAACTTGGTTTCATTTTGTTGTCATTTCCTATCTCCTGACTGTCTAGGAGGCATTAACACTTATTTTATGGTCCGTTGGGAACGAAGTACCAAGTAGACCTCGTTATTGTAGATTTTAGCCGGTAAACAGTATTGATCCCATGGTTCCCCACTTGTCTTAATCATAAACATTCTTTGCGCACGACTACCCCGGCTTCATTCCGTATACATGTACATATATGCATGCAAACCAACCCTCATGCACACCAAACCGAATAAACAAAATCATGCTGGTTCTGTCTGGTTTAAGTGGTGTCGATTACGTTTCGTTGAAAAGCTGTGCTTGTGGGATCTGCTCTTATGAAGATTTTGCAAAATACAAGCATTTCCTTTCCAAAAACTCCAATTGAAGGAAGAGCTGTAGGGTAAACGACCCTCGCTATAGCTATATACGAGCATGTCTGCCTATCGCCAAATATGCTTTTAAATAACGTCACTGCCTCCGCTTGACAATTCTGCTGGATCCTGAGTTTCCTCCCGTAGAAACTATGTTCGACCACACGTCTCCATACCTGGGCTACAAGCAAACTTTTGATGGCTGAGAAACGGTTTAGTTCAGTTTGTAGGAATTGGGCTTCATTATTCACCGTTTCTTTCCACTTTAAAGTTGCCGAGCCTAATCAGTCACAGTGCTTGATATCAGTGATCGAAGAATTTTCTTTTAAGCACGCGGTGTCAAAAATTAATTTGAATCGCTAGATTATTTGTGCACGGCTCATTTTAATTAGGCTTGTTTGAGGCGAGACTTTCAGTTGGCTATTTTTCGTTCCAAAACTTGGCATGCTCGTTCACTACATTTCAGTGCCAAAACTTATTTGAGATTTAGTTATCTGGTACTGTATCAAAAGTTTATTTACTCTATGCATTCAGTCATGACATTGTGAGCCAATAGAAAGATTAACACCTTATGGGCCATAGCTCTCCATCCTTTGTACAAGTACTGCATTGGAGGTGTTAAAATTTGTTAAATTCAGTAGAGGAATGTCTATTCGTGGGGTGTTATGCCTCAAATCATAAGAAATTCGTAATACCGAGGTCAAGTAAGTTAAGTAAGTGTTCGTCATTCTCTGATTTTGTTCCAAAGATTAGTAACTGCATCTTCATTAGTGATAGGGAACTTTTCGTATGATGATTTGGACAAAAAGTGTTGTTTGTAATATGCGATTGCGGAAGGTCGATCATAGTCCATTTACATACGACTAGAATGTGAGATTTTCATGAAATACTCAAACTAAGATCTAGTATTTCATGGTTTAATTAATGGATCGTATGTTTTTACTTTGGATAATTTGGTTGGTTGGTTTCTTTGACCTGTTGTGAAAGTGGTTGTAATTTGCGCCAATATTTGTGTAACCAAATGTTGGTCATCTCCAGGGTATATTTTATGGGGAATGAATGGCATTAACTGACAATCTTGGGCATTCGATCAGTTAATCTAGGTTTATAGCAATTCACTTCGGACTTTTTCTGTCACTCGGTCCTATTTGCGCATTTATAACAGTTACTCAAGGGCGCACTCGGCTTAAAATTTGTGACCTCTAAAGTGAGTTGAGCCTTTCCTTATTGGCTACTAGATGATAGTAGTCTTAAACTCTGTTGGAGGTTTGCATTCTCCTCAGATCTCGTCTAATGTTTATGGTTGCTGGAGATTTTCAATGAGCAATTCTGTTCTTTGCCTACTGCAGCCCCGATTTCACGATTATTTTGCTTTTTGTATGAATTAAACTAAAGATCTCATGCTCCGACTTGAGTTCCTTACGCTGTAACATTTTAATATTACAATTTGGAGCCCATATTACCTCCATTAAAAAGCAACAAAGATCAACTCTTACGTTTGCGCCTCTACGGTATCGATTGATTTACCTATAGTGGTTGTTTTAATACTCCCAAATTTAGCCAATCGCTTTCTCCTGATTACGTCATTTGCTAACGTGAGTACGATAAAGACTAGGCCAGCACTGCTGGTTGGTAGCATTGCACATTTGAACACTATTGGGTTGCTGTATCTGGAGGCGTGCGTGAGCTCACATGGCGAAACAGCTGATCAAGAGGATTACCCGCGGGTCGTAGCAAGAATTTCAAGCACATTCACACGCGAATCTACACTCACGAAATGGCGCAGGATGCATAGCCCCAGTTTCGATGCCAATTGTTTCATTCGAAAGTTATCGTTGCGCAAGAAGAAGTGGCCTGATGACTACGTTGCCACCGGAGGTAGACAGAGTACCATGGCCAGGGGGAAGCACGGCTCCACTCCCTCCTCACCCACCTCCCCCTCTTTTGCATTCTCTAAACCTTCCACCATCGTCTCTGTGTCACCTAATTTTCTCCAACCTCTCACCTCGCATGCCCTCGCAGAGCTGCGGACTCAGTTCGCCGATCAGCTCAAATGCCTTGACTCAAAACTTGATCTCGACGTCACTGTGATGTCAGAGCTCCACGAATTTTATCGTCGTCGCGCCCTTGTTGAACAGGAATACTCCGATGCACTGGCCAAACTCGTAAACTCCCTCAAACACAAGCACTCAAGTGAAACTGGAAAGTGAGTTGGTTCTTTCACTTCACTTTTTCACGCTCATTCTTGTCCCTATGCAGCTTTTGGTTACTGGTCTTGGTTGAGTGAGCAAAACACTGGAGTGACTATTCTTTGTTAGGTCAACCACGCTGTGGTGTTTCTTAAGCCTTTATGGTTGTGTGGGCTAAATGTGCGGGCTTGACTATTTCCACTTGGTGCATGTGTCAGAATTTCGTGGGTTACGGAACATGGACGTGGTTGCCTTTATTGGCGAAGTGTGTGACCTCCTTGGCGAACTAATGCATTCTCGATTGTTTTCGCTGTTTATCCCCCATATCTGGCAATGAGGTTTTAACTTCATTTCTATGAAAGGCTTGACTTTGTGCGCACAAGTTGTTGGAGAGTTGAAATTGTATTTATTCCTTTTCTCTCACATATTTGAAGTTTACATCTACTACCTACCTGTATTTGCACTAAGCATTAGCAGCATGAGAAGGTTTCCTTATTTACTTTCCATTTAATTTCAGTGGCTTTGTGTAATACACTACTCTTTTATTGTCGTAGTTACGAGTTACCAACGGTTTCTTAACTACAAATAGCTAGAAATTTGGTTCAAACTATTTCCTTTTTTGTTTTAAGTCGAAATTCATCAGGAAGGATAGAGACAAATGCTTTTACTCTTTAGGTTGGTATTTTCATGACATTTAACTTCCATCAACTTTGCCACTAACATTACTAGCTGTTTTGTAGGTCGCCTATTTATCCACTTCTTACCATTTTTCCGGTGGAGACTACACGAACCAGGCTACAGATAGGGAATGCGTTCTCCTTTTTAATTTTGCATCTTAATGAGCGTGAGGTCTTCATTCCGCCTTGTAGAAACATGAAGCGTAATCATTTTGTGCCAAAGTGTGCTCCATCTCCACATCTTATCAGATCTGTAATGTGCTTGGAAACTTAGTTGTCATTTTTATGAACATGAGCTCCTCCCATTTAACCCATAGAAAAGCGGTGATGTTTTTTTGAATGTTTCCTTGGACGTCCTAGCTTATTCACTCAACGCCTGAATAGTCCCAAGTGATTAAGCACAAGGAACAAGTGTTTTGGTGTTCCCTCTCTATTTCCTCCTTTTTCTTTTTATTCATGTCGCTCCGTCAGTCACTCAACTTACTGTAATCCACAAAACGTGAGCGTTAGTGATGGTGAACAACAAATTTTTGTCATGAATGACTCTTCGTTCTTGCATTATTCCTGAATCTCACAATCTTACCTTTTAATATACTCACCTTAGCTATCCATTTTATTTTGCTGAATTTGGTAAATTTCTAAAAGCTAATCAAATAGTGTATATTTTCGTGTTCATGATTGGCTTCGCTCATTTTTCGTCTGCTACAGAAAACCTTAGGTAATGCGCTTATTGAACTGCTATTGTGTGGTGGTTGGGGGTTTATGAAGGTTAACTAACAGGATGGATTGGCATTGTCACTCTGCGGCAGAATCAATGTTACCAATTTCCATGTCTCAACTACCGGGTCCTATGCCGCTCGGAGTTGGAAGGAGTCATTGAAATACTGTTCGCCTTATTTGTATTATTACAATAATTTAATGCACTCAAGGATACTTCATGGCATTTCTTAGTACAATGCTCACATTTCACTGCTTATATCAGTGGCAGTCACGTTCTTTCGTAGCCTATGCATTTCCTTTGCCAAATGTGGGCACGAGCTCGGTGGACAACATACTTCCTGCTTTTGTTTATAAAGCCATACCTCGATAAAAGCGCTATTCATTCAAAGTAGAATAAACTTATGTTGAATTTTCTTTCGTTTAATTGTTAGTGTAAAAGAAAAAAATTTTGCTGTATTTCAGGACGTCTGCGCGGCCTCCTTAGCGAATTCGAATACTTCAAATGTGTGCTTTATGACCTTTAGAATTGGATTACTGGTGGCTTTTTTTTGTTGTTTGCAAACTGCAGAGGGCTAGCAGACAAAAGTGTTGTCCTTTTGGCAAATTAATTATTGTATGGCATGAGTCCTTTAGTTGTATTTTTTTACGTACTGAATGACTATTTTCCATCTGCACCAATATTCCATGGCTCACTTCCACTTCTCTTGCAGTATTTATTGTGATCTCCAGATTAATTCTTTTTGCCACACAGCAGAATTCGCATATTTAAGCTTCACTACCCTGTCTCAGAATTTGGTTGCTATCCAAGCAATTAGTTGTAGATGACGACCAAAAGTCGGTAGCATGTAAAGTTACCTGTAGGGGATTGGAGCGGAAGCCATGGAAATGTCTTGTAGTTGATGACCTCATGATCCATGGTTTTGCGACCTTACCCGCAGAAATGCAGGTTGAGTTGGGTTAACATTACCATTTGTGGGGTTGATGACGGCACAGTACTTGTCGACGGGAGCACTCGCGTGCTAGACTTCTTGAGCTTCTTTAATTCTGATGTCATATGACTCCTTTGGATTTTTTTGAGCTGCCTTCTAAACCATAGTGTCTACAAGTTATCAGCGTTTTCATAATGATACTGATTTGTACTTCCTTAAGGTTCAAAATTCCACTTTCATTGGGCTCATCCTTATTGTAATTAACGGTTATCGCACCTCATACTGAATGTGGAACTTGATTTTTGTATGTGACCGTTCCGTCTTCACTACTTGTTATTTAATACCAAACCCTTGTATCATTATCAATAATGAACGTCGTGATGTAAGACGGTGCATTAAAATAAAGTTGCTGTTTGTGAATTCACGATTCCAGGTATCTTGCTGGCGGTGGAGAGTAATCAGGACGCATTTACTTTGATTCTACAATTGTGGAAATCAGAGCTCCTTAAGCGACGTTTTTTGTTTTCAATCGTCTTTTATCCTTTAGCTCAGAAGTAACTGAAATTTGGATTTGAAAAACTGACAAGAGAAGCGCTTTTGTGGTATTACTATGTTCTTGTTTCTTTTTTTCTTCGTAGAATGACCCGAGTCTCTCTCTTTTCGACAACATGCCTAAGGACACTATAAATTTAATGGCCTTTATGCAAATCCAACGATCTTCACTGATTCGAGTGCTTATCATTTTCGATCAGTTCCTAGTTGTGTAGCTGACTAGTATCTATCTCTCATCTTCGTTCTTTTTCTGCCGTAATTTGCAAAAGCAAGCATGATGTCCTCCTACTCTATGTTACTTCTGAAGGAGTTTGTCCCAATTTGTCAATAATGGAAAGTACTTCGACTAGTGGATGCCTAGTTCCCTTTATTTTGCGTAGGATTATTCTCCTCCTATAACAAAGGTATTAATGACATGTTCCTCTACCTTTAGCCTCATTTCGGTAAGGATGTGAGGTCAGAAAGCCCGAATCAGAACTTTGGATCCTTTCCTCCTTCTTCCCCTTCTTGACTGTTCTAACTCCATTTGAAATTGCAAAGGCAGACGCGTTTGCTGCCATTGCTTGATTATGCGCGTGAAACTTCCAATTGGTTCCTTGAAATCATAACCAATTTATTTTGAGGCTTAATATTATCGATTCTTTTTTATAAGCAGGCCCACTTTTGTATGAAGGAATTCTGTAGATACTTTTTTGCTTTCTAACCTGATTGTTGACACTTGGAGCACTTCTTAGAATCTCTTTTTGGCCAAGGCGGTGTCCGGTCCCATTTAAGTGTGGGAGGAGTGACAAGCCATAACCTTAGGCTCTATCAAGCCGGCATACGAGCAGTTTTTTAAAATATAGCCTCGATTTCCATTCGTTACATTTTATGTGAATAGCGAAACCGTTATATTCCTTTAATTTGTAGTTACGCTTTGTGATAAGAGTATCGTTCTCAGGACAGAATAATATTTTGCTTATTAGTTTGGGCACAGTATGACCCATTGAAGTCGAATTCTTATAGTTGTTTCTTATATTAGTCCAGTTTTGCAGGTAAATTTAGTAATTATCAGTGTCTAAAGTTATGTGCTAGACAAGCTGATCCACGACGCAGTCTAGTTGTGCTCCACTGAGAAGTCAATCATTGCAGGTGTTACATTAGGGGCTGTAGTTTTAGTTGTTAAAATGGCACTTTTATTTATACCATAGGAACCCTGGTTAACATCGATCGAAGCTACCTGTAGGTGAAATTCAGAGATGCTCGAGTGTAATCTTGTTCAAATGTTTATTGGTGATATTCATCTTAAATAAACCTTTAAGGCTGTCGAACAGCTGCTTTACGCCGCTATTAGTAAATAATAGGTAAGATGCTAATTAAAAAAAATAGAGCCGTGAAATGTTTCTAGCGATTTCCTTGCGAATACTAGCTAAATAAGCCTATATTTCCTGTCCTACTTTAATTGTGCGGTCAACTAATTCACCCTGGCAGGCCAAATCAACCACATAGGCGATAAGGTTCATTCTCCATACTGGTTTGGTGAGTTTTATTAATTAGGTCTTAATTTTCGGTCCTGCTATTGTTGTTGTCAAAACGACGCAAGTGAATTTCAGGTGAACACGATCGAAGTAGTCAAAAGACTGTAAGCTCATCTTAAAGTGTTAGTATCTTAAGCTAATTTATAAATCATGTTCCCTAATCCATGATGGGATTAGACTATAAGCAACAATGGCAAGGATCTTTTGGTTAATAGCGCATCAAAGGTACAAATTTGAATAGTTTAGGGTTACTGAGGCCTTGAGACAGACAGCTAGAGCTTAAAGCACTGGTAGCTTATTGCAGCACCTGAATGTTACAGATGAAACATGCTTTAATGAGTATTTGGTTTGCGTAACTCATGCATCCTTACGCATTCGATGGGATTGGTCATGCTCGGTCGTTTTGGTCGTTCACTCTTTTCGTATTTGCTTGGACATCATTCTGTGTTTCTCTCCTACGATTTCCATTCGGGCGAATCAAGTGTGAATTGGTGGCGATGGACGATTCTCCTTAAACCTGGCAACTTGACCTTCACTAGTCTGTTATTAGCTTTCGATAATTCATGTGTATGTGTCTATGTATACTTTGTTTCGGTTACCGTCAATCGTTAATTCAGTAGAAAATTTAGCATTTATTTGTGCTTCAAACTTTGCGGTAGCCACTACCCTCAAATGGAGGCAAAACATTTCTGCTGCAAATGCCAATTATTGGAATATCGAAACCAGCCGTGATCACTTCTCGGTTGTGTGGTGAAAACTGAAGCCTTGGCTGTGTGATCTGGACTTACCCCGTCTAACCACAAACTTCACCTCACTGTTAAAAATGCTACATTTCTTCAACAACTGCAATTATGTGGTTTCGTCACGGGAAGGTTATCGCACAGCCATTATTTAGTCTAACATTCTTCGTGAATGGTAGGGAGCTTTGGTAGAGCCTATTAAAGGCTGTTACTCATCAACAATATTTACGTGCAGATGCAATTAAGGGGGTTATTTGCATCGTCGATTCAAATGTTGGTTCGAAATTATCATCCTTGGGCGTAATTTCATTCCCAGTGGCTTTTTCTTTGACAGTCCTCTATGTAGCTGTATTACGCGATATGAACAGCTTCTATGAACTCTTGAATCACTTGTCCTTACAGTTGTCTCGTCGTGGCCGATTTGCTGGAGGCGCTTTCCTTCCCCTTCCGGTTGGGTGTGTGCGCACACTTTTGTTTACCATTCTGGGTAAATAGTGCTCCAAGTGTATTATCCCCAGAATTGGTGACTCATTGATTCATTATTTCTCCCCTTACTCTCACCGTAGCGAATTCCATTTCGTTCCTTAAAATGAGGGTCTTTTGAGGCTTTGTAACACTATGTAACTGATTTCTGTTCAGTAGCCGCATCGCGTCATTCCTTCTCTTTCGTCTTAGCAATGGTGCGCTTGAATTTTCCAGTATATCCACATCAATCAAATTTATTTGTTATAAAATTCCTTCTATTAGCCATATTTTGCCTTTACCATTCTGAAAGGTATATGATCACTGCTGCTTTGCCTAATTCCCATTTATCAATTAACTAGTTTTTCAATCTTCTTTTTATGCATCATGCTTACTTCTGGCGAAGTAGAAGTGTGGAACGGTTTCTAGAAGCGCGCCAAGTTTTTCATCACTGTTTGTTAAACTTATTGCTTCATTTTCAGGCGGCCGAATTGGGCAAACTACACTACTACAACGTTATGGAATACCCTTCTAGGAACAACCCTCCGCCTCTCCGACGCCCATGCTACCCTCTCCGACATCTTTGGGAAGCACATGGTCCAACGTCTCGCCGACATGGACGAAGACGCGAATCGTCTACATAGACAAGTAAATGCGCCGATTTTAGCGATCGTGTCACTTCCGAAACTGGTTAATGGCACCGGATCCTGGAGGAACACTGCTGCAGCAGTAATTCCTTGAAGTTGTGGTAGCACTATTGCGCATGCGTTCTCTACTGTAAACTTAAAAATCGATTCAATTGTCTGCGAAAAGTGGTGCTACGCTTATTATTTGACTGACCTATCCGGAACTCACAGAAGCGCTTAGTATTTTCTAGTTGTGGATCTTTCACGATCGGGATGATGATAGAATGCTTGAGCTTGATAGGTGTGATTGCCTTTAGCTTGTAGTTTTCCCAAACTGAGCGGAGTTATGTGTTGTCAAAGAACTATACAAAAATAACGTTCATTGTATAGAGGAGGACTCATTCTGCCTCTCATTCGTAGTCGTCTCGCTAAGTCTCCAATTATGAGTACGTTAATCTCACTTGCTGTTCCAGATTTGGCCTCTTGTTTTTACCTTGAGCTCGATTGGGGTGCAAAATCGTTTGTGGATCATTTGCTCACCACTGTTTTTCATTCTTTGACCTAGTTTTTAATGTTTTGGTACGCACGCGCGCATGTTTTATGGAAAATCCCGAAAAGTGCTAGCATGGAGTCAGGTTGTGAGGTAAGGTTGTGTATCAAGCTTGATTTTTTCCCACAGCGACGCCTTGAATCCGCGCATGAGCTTTAAGATGCGTATTCCTCGGGGAACATGGTTAATTTTCTGGGTTGCAGCCTTGCAGATCACTTGTAAGGATAGAATGCTGTCTCCATATTGGTTGTGTGATTGCTAAAAATGTCGAATAATGGTTTTCGGGACGAGTATTTTGGCTGCTGAATGGTCGATAGCGGAGCTGCGAGCGTGAACGGTGATCGAATTAATTGTTGAGAGACGGTAAACATATCTGGTGGTACGGTGAGTTGTAGCTGTGACTTCGACACACAGGTGGCTCCACTTACTCATCCACATCTGTATTTAATTTGTTGAACGGTCAAACTTGCTTCGTCCAGATGGTAGGGTACCATTTTCTCCGACAACTTTTGAAATCAGGGTGCTGCATCGCCATTAATAGAACTTTATTGTAAATGATGTAACACAAATGGCTTTGCCGATTAAGTGTTTGGAGTGCGCGCAGGCCATTGTGCCTCAGAGAGGAGGAATCTCATGATTGTCTTTTTTATTACCCCACATGTTCGACCGTTGAGGTATCCAGATGTTCTACTGGGTAGATTTCATCTAAATGAAGGGTTTAAAGGTTTATGGGATCTATTTTAACAGTATTCAAAAGTGATTCGCATTTGCCCTATGACCATAACATGCAGACTGCCGAGACTGGAAACCTGCCTGCAACACATTCAACCGAAAGTCGCCTTTTGATGAAGAAAGAAAGCGGATTACTTTGGTTTTTTGAGCATTGAAATCAGTTTTATCGTGATGAGGGAACTAGGTTTGAATTGAGAGGTTTCGTCTATCATATCTGTAAAGATATTTACATTTATGCCTATAGTGTCGAGAGATGATGGTGCGCTGCCAGGAGAAGGTGTTTGCCAACATCGCTAAGCTGCAGTCTGATCAGCGGGAATACGGTCAACGCCAGAACACTCAACTGGACGCTGATCGCATCTGTAAGCGCAGTGAAGAAAAGCTCACTGCTGCACTCGATTACATCCAATCAAAGAAGAAAGAGCCCGAGAAAAGCCAGAAATTCCGGCGTGCTCAAGCTGACTACAATCAAGTGCGTCGATTTGTTCTACTTTTCCCTTTTCTTGCGCTCTGTCCAATGCATTGAGGTGTGAGGTAGTGCACACACGATTTATTCTTAGATGTTTTGGAGAATAAATAGGATGTTTCTATGTCATTTCATTATTTGCCGATGTTAAACCGCTTGGTAATTTCTTCGCCAGTGCAATGAACGGCTATATGTTTCAAAAAATTGGAAATAATTGACATTGTTTCGCCTTAGTGCAAGAGTTCAAACGCCCACAGTTACCAATCACTATGGAATAACTAGTAATTTGGTATAACTTCGGGTCTGTGAAGTCACATCCCAGTTTTGACTTCATGTCACGCGACGCCCAACGAATTGAACGAAGCTTGGAGACGAGCCCATTTGCTCTTATTAAAACCAACAAATCATGCCAAATCGATTGAGTGGTTCCCCATATGTTTCTATGCTTCTTTTATTATGCAAATGCGATTTACCAAGGGCATCCGTGTGTGTTTACAGAAATACCAGGCCTATGAGAGTACAGTTTTGGCGACCAATCATGCGCGCAACGAGTACCTCATTCAACTCTGTGCTGCCAACCAAAGCATTCATCGCTACTTCACTGATGAAGTTTCCGATATTCTTGATGTGAGTCATCTTGTGCAATTTCGACGCCTCTGTACTCTGGTTTTTTTATTCCAAAGCAAGCAATCGGTTCCAAAGGTACACCGATTACTTACAAATCAAAAAAACGGATAACGCTCTTCGAATTGATGTTAGATTCGAGCGACTGAGGATTTCCACATCCAAGCTAATGTTTAAGGTTGGAGATGGTTGTGCGACGGCGTTTAACTTTAAATAATCTTACTTTGAACTAGACTCATGCACAATGAGTAAAAAGACTGGCTTGTAGGTGTACCCACTCAAAAGCTCATCCCTTTCCCACCGCCCAGTGCATGAGCTGCGGCCTACACAACGGTTTGGCGCGCGCGGCAATGATGCATATGAGCTGCGAGGAATCAGTGAAAAACTGTCACGATTCGGTACGCGAGATGATCAACCGCAACATCACTGCACTTGACTGGCGCGCCGACAAGGCAACCTTCTTGCGTCGCAACGAAGTCGCCTTCTCTCGACCACCTGCATTTTCCTTTCTCCCTTTCAAGGACGACTGTGTAAGCTCTCTGGCCCTGTTAGCCTTATTTTTCGGTGCCCTAATAGTCGACTCTTGGGAACCGTATACCTCGGATACTGGGAGAGAACTGTTCAGGTCACCTATTAAAGTGTCTTCTTCTTTAGCCGGCATTTGAAAGTAAACCATATATTTTGTGGAATATTTGATCGCTTCGATCCTAATAGCCGGAGTTGCAGCACTTCAATTAATGAGACGAAAAAAACTAAGTTATTGTTTTTCGCCATAAAGCATGATGCTCTCCAAACCTACTCACCTAAAATGTCTGATTACGTAGAGTCGATTCTTGTTTTGCAACTGAATTTGAATTGTGGTAGTATTTAGAATGATTGATACGTCAGTCATAGTTCAGTGCTTTAGGTGGGATTGAAGCCTGGAATAGAAACCATAAATGCTGTTAAACTTGAAAATTTGAGGCATTTTTTTCACAATTAGAAGCAGAGTATCTCTTGTTTACCATCCTTGGCGCCCGTGTAGGTTTGGTGGTCAATTAAAAAGATAACTTACTGATCGCCGAAGAATTATCAAAATCATCATAGCACACTTGAAGCAGGACCTCGTTCTGTTTCACAAGCACAGAGGCATAACGATCGAATCAAACCATTTCATGTATGTGCGTTTGATATTTTATTGCAATGTTGAAATGTCTCTGTGTTTACCCTTTAAGGAATCGGAGGTGATCGCTGTTCCTCCACTCCGTGACAGTTTAGCCGCAACTGCCGCTGATCTGCGAGCCAACCTTGATCAGTTGAAGACCTCAACGGAAGAGGCTTGGAACAATCTGCAAGAAGTAAGTTAATGCACCACTTTTCCAACGCTAAGGTTTTGGGAGCTTTTAAACTTGACTATGTATCTTCGACTTTCACGTTTTGGCGACCGCAATTTATTGAAACTTGTTTATGTTTTAATGGAACCTGCTTCCATGCCATTTATTATGCTGGAGTTTTTGTTGAAATCTATGAAAAATAACGCCATGCCATGTTTACATTGATGTGTCACTTAATCGGGCTAATACACCTCGGACATCTTGCACAGTCACATCTTGCGTATACCTCGTCCTGCGCGTATTAGCATTACGTGGATAGTCACACTTCCACTTAGTTGGAATCAAATGCTTTACCAGTTATTGCATTTTTCGTCTGCTGTTGCAGCTAACTTAGTTTTCCTTATCTCATAACTCTTACTAATGGGTAAAATAATGACATTTTAAATCTAGTGCAGAAGTACCATGGCCTGTGAAACAAGATTAGTTTATTCACATTGAACATTTCATTAAGATCGAGAAGAAACTGTTAGTGCTGATCAATCAAAATGACTACGACGTCTCTGAATTGTTCGCGGATCCTGTGCTGTTGGGCAGGCGTCGGCGCCGCCGCTCGGTCAGTCCGGTTAACGGTGAGTCTGCGCGACCTGTTCCTCCAAGTCCAGCTGCTAACGCCGGTGGACCTGCTGCTGCAGCCTCCTACACTTCGCTCAACAAGGGTGGTGGAGGCGGAAGTTGTGGAGGTGGAAACACCCCGCTCTCCTCCTCTCTACCTCCCGAGGATATGGGCTCCAAGGCCTCCGTAGGCTCCTCCGGCACTGAAATCCAACCTGGACTCTATTTGGCCATGCGTAATACCTACCGGGAACAGCGAATTCGAGAGGAGCGAATCTATATGGAGGTAGGGGCGGTTGGTTTCATGCAGAATGCAACTACAGGATTATATCACTTTTGCTACGATCTAGCAAGTCGATTACTTCTCTTTCAGTTTAACTTGTACAAATGAAATGAATTAGTACTCATCAATCAATCTTACAGATTAAAGCTTCGATCAGACTTACAGAACAGATTAACTCTGCATACCTATCGGAGATTTCTTTGAATACTGCATTTTAGCGGTTCTCTGCATACACACAAGAAATGCACCGTTGCATTGTTATGCAAGCAAAGCTAGCTGAGATTGAGCGCGCTCTAGCCAACTACCAGTCAGCAGCATCGCTTAAGTCCACGAAGAGACCACCACCCCTCCATTCTCACCTCTTGATATCGGCGTCGGAGCAACCTCATTGTTCACCCTACCTTTCTGCCGCATCTGGCAACAGCAGTGGTGATGCGACTCTGCCGGTAACTGTGTCGACGCCGTCGAGTGAGGCGGGCCCAAAATCACCGTTTGGAGCACCGCCGCCGCCTCCACCTCCCGCCGCCACCACACCGCCTTCTACTTCTAACCCAAATGCTACTGCAATCAGCGTCGTGCAGCCGGCTGCTCTCGTAAAGATGGCCACTCGCCGCGTCCTCCAGGTACCCAATGTTGGACGACCCAAACTGTTTGGTGGAACTATTGACGAATACGTTACGAAGACTGGCGAACAGATCCCTCGTGTAATGCTGTCCTGCATTCGCGTTATCAACCTTTACGGTAAGTTTTGAAATGTTACTTGAACTAATTAAGTGCTATTTAATTTATTCGCCCATTCTACCAGGCTTCTGCTAGGCATTTCAATTAAACTAGAATTTCACCAATTAAATAGCAATGCTACCTCATTGAGGTGCACTTATAAAGTTAAATGGATGATGGATGATTTACAGCCCACTATTTGTAGCTAACTGGAATCGAGTTATGATGGATGACTTTTGAGCAGTCCATTTTTTTGAAGGCATGCATCACCAAGGGGTATTTCGAGTTCCCGGAAGCCAGGCAGAGATTAACAACTTCAAGGAGTCCTTTGAATATGGCGACGACCCCCTGGTTGGTCTTTCCGACGCACGCGACATCAATTCTACTGCGGGATTGCTGAAGCTTTACTTCCGCGAGTTAGGAGAGCCACCATTCCCCAAAGGAGTCTTCATGGAACTTGTCAAAACTGTTCGGGAAAGTAAGCTACTTACTCCCTATTTTTATGCACGCCAGCTAGTGGTTGAGACAATGTAATTTCAAACATTGAATGTTACTGATATGCACCATATCTTTGACATGTGTTACGAAGTGTCCCCTAGTAATTGCCTTTAGAAGTGGGGCAAGTAAAATTGATGTGTTCTTGTTAATTTCAAGGCGATGTTTTACTCCATCCGGATGTGAGAATCTCCAAAAATGTGTTGCTGCTACTAATATCTGCATATATTTGCTGGCTGACTCCTATTAATAAAAACAACTGTATTATAATGCATTTATATTTTTTTTCCTTAGAACGCGATTCAGAAGAGTGTGTAGACCGCCTTGCGTCGATAATTTCTTGCGGCCTGTCACATTCTGTATTCATCGTCATGCGCTATCTTTTTGCATTTCTCAACCAGTAAGTAATCCTCTAATTTTATATTAATCATTTTTTAAATGATACAAGTTTAAACAGAGATTTACGCACCGCCACTTACAGCCACCATCTTGCAGCATAGTTTAAATCCTGATTTAAGTAATTGCTTCTTTTTGTAGCCTTGCTGAATATTCTGACGAAAACATGATGGATCCTTATAATCTGGCAATCTGTTTCGGACCAACACTGATGCCGCCACCTCCAGATCTAGACCAAGTGGAGTTCCAATCTAATGTGAACGACGTTGTGAAGCTCTGTATTAACCACCACCGACGGATCTTTGATCCTACGGTGCCTGGTGCTTACTACGAGAAGTTCGCTGCCTACGCATCTGCAGTCCCTCCAGTGCTGCCACGCACCATAGCCAGTGAGGCTGTCAAGAAGGCTTGCAGTCTACGCCATCAAGCTAACACTCACACAACCACAGCTACGACGGCAATAACAAGTCAAGAGACTTCTGAGAGTGATTCTCACCATAGTCTCTATAGGCCAGGCACAAGCACATCCAGGGTGACCGACAGCGTGGGTGTCTCTCACAGACCCGGTAACAAGCAAGCGTAAGTTAATGGTAACAGTGAGAAGCAGCAGTTCTGCTTAATTTTCTTTTTGCAACATGATCATGCCTTAGTAGTGTTGCCATTCTAGCTCTTTGATACTTTGTCCTGACTTACGCTGAATTTCGAATTGAGATTTAATTAAGGTGCCTTTTTTATGTTGTACTATGTAAAACCAACTTTTCGTTCGATCTGGAGTACAGGGAACATATATGTCATTTGTTTAGAAGTGTTGTTTTTTTCTTATTTTTCTATTTTGTGGCCTCCTGCTATTAGCTGTACGGTCACGAGAATTGCCAAATTTGGGATCAGTTGTTTCATGTGTGTGCACACATTTAGGGACTTCAGTTCTTCGACGGATCAACTATCGATCGACGATGGACTCGAAGATGATAATGACGATGAATCAGACTCGGACATGGAAGGTAAATCGAATGTGTCATGGTTATTCGTGCCTAAGAGAAAAAAAAAATGAACACTTTAGTTTCATCGCGTTGGCGACAGTCATATTTTACCCAAAAACTTGTCTAACACTAACTTTTTTCTTTTTCTCCCCTCTTCCCCTTTAATTCGTCCTCTATTTATTGCATTGTTTTTTTAATCATTCGTTGGCACCTAAAAGGCGAGCCCGTGCAAACTGTCGCTTTTACTCTATCGCAATCCTAACATTCTCCCTCTCGGAGGGACGAGCTATGTCGCTATTTGCTTATTTGTATGCGCGACGCTTAAATAAATCCTCTGCTCGATCTTATTGCCACCTGCACCTCTTGGGCAGGCTAAGCTACCCTTACCAGCCCTTTCTCTGGGCCCTGAATGTACACATAACCCTCTCTTAAATTAAAATACTTAACTTCTGATTGGTTGTGCGTGTGATTTGGGTGCGTTCATCTCACTTTACACAAAAATAGTCGCGTGTACACAGGCTTGAAAGCATGCTTGTGAGGTCTCCTTAACCCTCTCTACTTTTGCTTCAGGTAGACTGAAACTTGAAATAAACCAACCTATTTGCTACACTTCACTTTTCATTTTTCTAATTGTTGTAGTGTCAGTGAAGCCATTTTATTTTCTGAGTCATTAAATAAATTGACTCGGAGGTCCAGGTAGTGGAAATTAATGCAGAAAAGGGACAGTGCTACCGCAAAGCACCAAAATCATTTCGAGGAGCATTGATGGATGCTATTTTTTAACTTCTTCGGCGACTACCTTGATTGCTTTGCATGCCACTGATACGAATTTGATAATATAGGCATAACCTTTGGTTTAGTCTCCCTTAGGGCGGTTGTTTGGTTTTACTTAAAATACGAACATTGTAGATAGCAGCCTAGGACAGGAATTCACAAGTCTGCATTCAAATACCGGTGAGTCCATTTTCTACAGCTGTATGGGAGTGTCCCAATTTTTCCTCAACTGCAAGATTCCATAAATATGTACAAAATTATGCGACCTTTAGTTCCAACTGTTTATGTTCAGTTAGTATAAATCGGGAGTTCTAGGCGATTCCTCTTAGCTATACCCTGAAGCCCTGTAAAAGAATCGTTCATCGCCTCTTTACACATTCATCTGGTTTCCTGAGATATTTTGCATAATGCAAACTTAAGTAATATTCCTTTACTTTTTGCCTGCACTTTACTGACATGCAACGAAAATCTGCTATGTTGAAGCATTGATGTATCCTCCGTTTTCCGATTAGGTTTTTTAGCTTTGATTTCCTTTATGATAGCATATGTGAATTTGATGAATTTAGACTTATAATCGTGGGTACATCTACCTTGAGTTTGAGGTCACTGTATCGATAGTTGTAGTACCTAAGAAGTAGTGGTCAAATGCGCCGATTCGTATTGTAATTACAGGCGATGATTTTCGCCCACTCCATGCAACTGCGTTGGCAAGTTTCGTGGGTACCAGCGCCCGTGAGCTCTCCTTCCAGCGGGGTGCAGAACTCTTGCTTTACCGTCGTCTCAACGAGCATTGGTGGGAGGGACAGGCGGCCTCTGAGTCCGATGGACCGCGCTACCTCGTGCCACATCTCTACGTGAGGCTGCTGGCTGAAGACACCACACTCACATCCATCTCTGTCCGCAATCCTGATACAACAGTCGGTGTTACCACCGGCAAGGTTATTAGACATGTCGACGACGATACGTCTCCTTCCTCCACGTCCAAACCCATTGCTGCTTCAGCTATTTCATCGCCTTTAAAGAAGCCGTCACATCAATCTGATGATGAAGAAATCATTTCTTCTTGTGTTGTCACTCTCACCCCTACCTTGGGCAAGTTTTCTCGTCACTAATGCGGCTAGTTTCGGAAGTTCCTCCTTGCGACCCGTTATTGTTCCCATTTTTGGATTGTCATTTATATCACTCTACTACTCATTGACAGCTTAAGTCTACTGCTCACGCACAAATTTGACTCATTGAGAGCCATAGATTTAGTTCCTCTCCACACTTTCTCAGTGTTGCAATCTTCTTCGGGAGAGCGGACTGGACTACAATTGTCGTTTTGCTGGAAATATAGACTAAATTCTTAGCTTTTAAAATGTGCATTGGAGACTCTTAATTTTGGTTTTCCGCATATTCTAGCAGCACATTAGAATAGATCGTTAACGTGGCAAGCTTGTCAAACCAATTTTTATGCAATTCCACAGTGAGGCAACCTTTCTCTGGTGTTTAACTTTGTGTGTTGCTATGAGTACTCTAAGCAGACGGCTTGCTCAACATGAGGCAAGGTAATTGAAGCATACGCATTTCGTCGAACCTGACTTCAACTGCATATCTCTATCTCTATCTCAATTTTACTCACTTCCAGCTACATCCTATCCTGCGGTTACCACGTCTGATTCCCACAAAGACGCTACTCATAGTGTGTCGCCTATACCAGCCGGATCTCGATGTATGATTTCGTCCACCGATTGCAAAATCGGGACCAACAATGCTGACGTGAAAACTCTCCCCGAGACTGACAAAAAAGATTCTGCTAGTAATGATAGAGAAAGCGATTATGCCAAAAGATACACTCGTGCTGATGACAATGAACTCGGCTATGAGCAGGAGTCGGCCTCCACCTCTTCCTCTTCCTCTTCCCTCATGACTCGATCTATGAGCAACTCTCCACCACATGTGTCACCCCAAAGGCGAGCTGGCAGCAGATGTTCTTGGGCGGGAACGCCCACATCTACGGCCCTGGTAGCCTCAACAGTGCCTGGTTTGGAGACCCTACCAGAGGATAGACTCGCAAATATTAGGCCTTCACTAAGATCCCCCACTGTCGAGAGTTCTGAAATTAATGAGCCTTTTAAAGCCAGCAATGGATCTCTCAATGACGTCGACTCCGCTCTTGCTGAGGTGTGCGATTTCCTCACACGCATCGAATGTTTTCTGTTCGATTTAAAAGCCATTGGTAAATGTCTATAACACCTAGGTGGTGCGTGGCATGGCGAGCCTGGAGAAGGACCGATTGCAAGGACCCAAAGTTAGCACAGCAGCAGCGCAGCGGTCACGCGAATTGGAGCAGAAAATGCGTCTTCCTTCTGCGGCCAAATACACCCCCGATCTCATTCTAGGACTTCCGGGTCGCCCTCAACCGGCGAACTGGGGTCGTGCTCCTGCCAAGTCGAAGGAGGACGATTTGTTGGGACCAAGCAAGAATGCTGCGGACACCTTCGCTGAACAGACAGGTGGCACGGTGCGCAAACGTGTTAGCACGCAATTGGTCCAATTCTCGGAATCCTCGAAGCCACTGACCACATCCTCTTCGCTCAGTAATGATCTCGGTCGCCCCGAGACAGCTGTAAAACCGGTCGCTGCCGCTGCTACATGGCGATCCATAAGGAAATTGACCTCCCAGTCAGAAGGAGAGAGCAATGACACAATGAGCAAGTCTCTTGTGAACGAGAGCAAAAGCGTGGAAAACGCGACAACACCCAACGCCACCGACTCACCGGTTCCAATCAAGTGTGGATCGATAGCAGCTCGCGTTGCAGCCTTCGAAGCCTCCACCAGCAGCGGCGGTGCCTCTGGAAGTGGCTCCTCAACTCGTCCCAGTTGGGTTAAAAAGACTTAGTCCGACCAGCATGCACATAAGAAACGTGACGCTTCAACGACTACTAATTCGCATTTTAACTACCAGTTTTCAGACTGAAATAATCACTTTATCTTTGCGTACCACTGCTACAACGTAGCAAACCACCACCACCTTATGAGCGATGGCTTTCACGACTCTCTTCCGCCAACCTACGATTCTCCCTTTTTTATGCCGAAGTACCCAAATATATGCATAATTTAAGTTGACGCCCGGTTCTTTTTACGCATTTATCGAGAGGGTATTCTGACATACCTCAGCCTTGCTAATCGAAGACAATTAATAAAAAATGGAAGGTCTAGAGGAGGCAAACGTCAGGACAAAAACGGACTCTATGTACAAGACATAAAAATGGGGTCGCTTAATCCACAAGGATCAGCTCATCCAGATTCCAATCCTCAAAACTCCCATCAGGTAAGTAGCGTCTGATAACGATAGGAATCTTGTTGGCACGCAATTCCTTCTCTGCAATTTTGAGGGGATCGCGCTCACCACTCAACTCGACCATAACGGGAGCAGACATAGAGAGCTGGAGAGCCCGAGCCCCCAACACACGGGCTCGTTCGTACTTTGTCAGGTAAGGCGTGGTGATACGTTTACCTTTTTCCACCGGGCCCGATGGAGGCATACTCATCCCGGGTTGGGTTCGTGGTGGTTCACCCGAAGTCACGAAAGTAGCATTATCTACACAAACCGGGGTGACGAATAAATACTCAACAAGCACGTTCGATTTAAAGTGGTAAAAATGAAATACGAAGTGATGAGTAGCTTGTAATCTGTTCAGTAAAAATTGGGGTGGGTGAACTTGTGAAGGTTGCTTAAAAGTTCAAAAACTATTATTTGAAAGAGATATCCGAATTAAATCATGCACATACCTGCAGCATTTTCGACCTCCTCCTCAATTACCTCCTCAAATACTTCCTCCTCAGACTCGAAATCCGCACCCTCATACTCCTCAGCCATAGTAGCGAGACAATTGAAAAATCCGCGCTGAGATTCAGAGGCACGTCTAGATAAACATGCCAAGCGAAAATGAATCAAGTTGAAAAGCAAACCAAATTGCTCAACCAAAACTTTGAAACTAAACAACTTGTAATATTTTAGTCCTAAATTTGCTACGCTTAATTAATTTTACGCTCATAATTGGCGTTAGATTATTGCAGCTTAATGTACGGGCGCACACAAACACAGGCTATGAACAACTACCTCTTAAGCCATTGATACAACATTAACATAACTGATGTACCAACTAGTAATAACAATTAAGTGGGTCCAAGTAAGCGCCTATAACTGAAATGCAATGGTGCGCAAAACTCCAAAAAGTGTTGCTGTGCTATAATAGCGTCATTCTGTCAAACTTTTGCAAGCCGTTAACAAGAGTAGCGTAATCTTAGCTAAGAATGCAAAAGCTTGGCTGAAGAAATAATTTTTAGAAAAAATTGCCATATGGTTATTATGCGAATTTATTTTGACTAAATGACAAGTGTATTAAATAAATCGACTGTTTTTTTCAGGGTTGATTTTAAGATTACGGGAGTTTTGGCCTTCTTTCGAGGTATTCAAGAATCTACAGCTTTGTTTGAGCCCACGACTTCGTGCTCGCCATATTCTATTATCGGCTTTGAGGTGATGCATAGTGTCAGTCGCCATTCGGCCAAACTTTTGGTTTCTCATTGGCTGTCTGAGGAATCTTCGTACAATTTACCAGGATACGATTTGGAATCCTCAAAAACTGTACTTGTTATACGAATGAAAACGCCGGGTTTGTATGGTTAATTGTTTGACCTACTCTTTTTGCAGTACAGAGGTACTTCACTTCGATACCTCTTCAAAGTCGTAGTTATCTCCTTTGTTTGGTTTTATTGGCTTTTAAGCGGGCTGCGATTATGCTATACTCATGGACTTTGCATTTGTCTTCCCTTCAGGTGTACTGGCTGGTGTTCCGTTCGTGAACGCCTTGGCTGAGCACCTAGGCTGTGCAATTGAGTGGCACGTGAAGGAGGGCGAAGTATTACCCCACGAAAGCTTGAAAGTCGCATCGATGACGGGGGCCACTGCTGATTTGGTTCATAGTGAGCTTTTAATAAAGAATATACTGTCTCGTGCTTCTAGCATTGCAACATTTGCTTCAAGGTACGAACGAGTTCATCTGAAGCTACTATCTTGTAGGCTTAAACGGTCATTGGCTGATTTCTCATGGAAGGGGGAGCTTGTATCTCCGTTTACTCACACTCCAGGCTTTGCTCTTGTTGAGGAATACGCTATGTTTGTTGCTGGTGTCCCAAGCTCCAGGAATCTGTCATCAGTTCTCTTACCTATGTCACACATTGAGGCTGCTGGTGGTGTTGCAAATGCAATATCTGCCATTAAGACTAAAGCTGGCAAGAACACTCATGTTACTGTTGAATGCGGAAGTTTGAACGAGGCAAAAGCGGCGGCTGAAGCTGGAGCTTCTTCTGTTAGGTTTGAAGGGTTGACTATGAAGGTAGGCTAATATGGTACTATTTGTGATGCTTTTTACAGGAATTGGGGAGTTTCTCGGCTGCCTTGAAATCAGTTTATTCATCTCTGATCATTGAAGCATCAGAGAATTTTGATGAAACGACTTTGCATCAATTCCTGGTTCCGGACATCGACTGTTTAACGACGGGAAAGATGTTCAATGGATATCCCATCCTTGACTTTATTTTGAATTACGAAACGGGCAGCTCAGCCTTCAATACGCCTCTGCACGTTGGATCGCATAAGCGGACAATCAGTAAGTAAATTACTAATTGGTTGATAGACCCTTGCCTTCTTATTCATCCTATTCGGTACAATCTTGAGTGGTGAATTGTCTTCCTACTAATTGTTTAATCGTACCTATTAGTTGGTTTCTTGTTTTCGAATGTCGTTCTGCTCTGCTCTTTGCTTTTTCTAACGGCTTCCTCTGTTTCCAACTCAACTGGGATATTCAATTCGAGCACGATATGATCTTAAACATTCGATAAGGCTGAATTGTCGAACTGAGCATCTGATCCTTTTTTGCGCATTTAGTTTGACTATGTTAATGACGCTGGTGGTGGCGATTGCAAGAAGATTTATCGTGGAACTGCTTTCTGCATTTCTTTCACCAACTGATCAGTTCTAGCTGCTAGAATCTTGTCCAAGTTTCTGTTGGGAGGCGCATTTTATTCTTCTGCTCTTGGGATATACTCATTGAATCCAGTCGAAGAAGTGGCATAATATCAAAACAATAGGGTCAAATTAATAACTTCTACATTAGCATCAAAGCATTTCTTATCACTATACCGAATTGCATCAAAACATTTATGTCATAGAATTTCCGATGCCTTCTTCAAGCTCACCGGTCAAAATCTGATTTCTTCGTTATTTTTATAATACTTTCTTATCTTTTAGGCAGTGCCATTAAACCTGTGAGCTTTCATATAAGCTTCGTGGAGCTGAGCACTTTCTTTGGTGGCCTTTTCATGGCGACCACTAACATTATTGATCTAATGTTTTAGAATCAGTATCTTGCTCATGCGTTCGAGCCTTGGTTTTATTTCCTCACAGAGAATGTACCACTTCACTAGTGTGGCATTTGTGGCGTTTCACATGAATGATTTTGAACGAATTGCCTTGAAACACAAGGAGTTTCCTAGAAGCTTTTTTCAAATCATTCACATATTCCAACTGACTGGGCACAATCGTGTATTCATGACTTCCTCGTTCTCAGTACCTTGCTAATGTGGTAGCCCGTACTTCCATTTTAGCTAGAATCACGATTCTTATCAGACCATTCATAAAAGTCGGAGTACATTGTACTAAACTTGATGTTCTCTAAGCTATTACAAACCTTGCCTTCTAGATAATGCAGCCGCCACTCTCTTAATTAGTTATATCTTTGGTCCAATTTAATTTATACTCGACTTTATGCTTGATAGGCTGGTGACTCATCACTTTGGTTCTCTGCCTTAATGTACACCTTGTGTCTGTTTAAACCTTGGGGCTTTGTCCGTTCCATTGTAAACAGATAGCCATTTAATCATAAGAAATTGGACGAATTCGCTTGATTATTTACTTGTTTACTAGCGCTCGTCTGATTTCTACTGCCGCGAGTTCGAAACTAACCCTTTTATTTTACCGTCTCTTATAGGCACATTTAATGCGATTTATTCGATATTTTGAGAGTGTAAAACTCAATTGCTGAGGTCTCTAGGTCGTCCGTTGAGTTAGTTCTTTTAAGACCTTCTTTTATTCATATACTATAATTAACTGCAAATAAATTGCGAGATATGGCCCATCACCGCCCTTAAGTAGACTTTCCTTGAAATTGTGAACTACTTCCTTGGTTTGGATGTACAAGGCTACTTAAGTTAGATAGCCATTATCTTCGCCCGCGGCGTTCATGTTTTGTCAAGTTACTTGAGTGTCATTCATTTTAACTTTAGGCACTTTAAAATGCTAGAATTGAAGTAGATTTACTCATTTTTTGCTCTCTATCGACAGTTCTTTTCACATGAGGTGGTTAATGGCAGTATTTACTGTTAGAAAACAAATGGCCCATGTCCAAATGCGTGCCGTTATACGTCATGGATTGAATAGTAGTAGATTCATTACAGCCTCAACATGGCTGGTCAGTTCTCTTCTCACTGGACCTAGACTTTCGAAGTCGGTAATAAGGCGGTCTTCCAGAATAATTTAATTTTCGCCATATATGCATCATATCAGACACCGACCATCATGCGGTGTTTTATAAGTCCAATCATTTCCAAATTGGAGTCTCATACATTGTCTTTTTTTTCTCTGATGTCATTTTTATCATATCAGTACGTTTGAGACATTATTTTACCAACTTTCCGATAGTAGCACTCCTAATTTGGAGGCAGTGATATGATAATGAAACAGTTTGCTTTATTCGATATCCATCTATTTTGCAGTAGCAACATTTGGCCTGTCGTAGTAACATGTAGTAGTAGTTTTAGCATAAATAAAGCAATGAAAAAAGTCGGTCAGTCGTAGGGCGTTAGGCGAGCTGAGTATGCAAAAATCCTAGCACCGAAATCTTTGTTGATAATACCTAATTTAGCTGTCGGTTAGAATTGTCAGCGGTGCGGAATCAGAACAGGTTACTCTAGTAGTAGTAGTAGATTCAAATGCAGTCATTGAGTTACTCATTTAAAATGGCTCAGTGATCACAATGGCAACTTTTGCTTCTTAAACCATGATGGGTGGAACACCAAATTTTGTTTTTTAAAAACGTATTTTGAACCCCGAAATTCAAATATTCATGTTCCGCTAAAAGTGGTGCAGTTCACGCCAAATTTGTACTGGCCATTTGATGAAATTGATACTCGTTCCCGACCGTCTCTACCTTCTCTCCGATGTGTGCGTTCTAGCAACCGCTGAGTCAGAACAAACCCCTGCCGACAATGGTAATTCCAACGTGGGCGAAGAATCTGGGTAAGAAAGTGCTAACCGAAAATGTCACTTGTATTGTCGATTTTCTTTCCCTCTCGGCATCGCACTTGTGTATCAGGAGTAAAAGTGTCAACACTTTCTGATGACCTTGTATTCACAACATAGATTCAAAGTTCCTCCATCATGGCACACGGTTGTACGTCTGTAGGCTGTCACTGTTGTTTCATCGAGTACAAACCACACAACTAACATTTAGTGTAGTCTGCCAACTAGCAAACTGAGGGCATTCAAAACCACGTCGATTATCCAGAACGGAAGTCTGCTAGGGGAAAGATTTCATTTTTACCTGAAGCCCGGATTCCTGTTTCACGCAATTTTTAAACCGCGTAAATATTACTGATGTTATGCTTACCGTTTATTAAGGTAACTTTAACGTCAATCAATTTTCGATCTAAGCACTATGTGGCTCGCAAAGGCCACCTGTTTTCGCTGTTCTATCCCTGACAAAGCCATTCTACTTTCAACCTATCATCCCCTCAATTTGTGCTGGTTCTTTCTTTGTCATCTAGTGTTTGACCTTTGACAAAACTGTCAGAAGAATTATCCTTTTATGATGCATAAGCTCTCCTCTCTTACTCTAAGCCTTGTCAATTTTATTTTTTTAGTAAATATGCACCTCAAGGTTCTGCTCAATTAATCTTTTCATCCCAAGTTATATGATTTCATTTAAATTATGTAACAGCGAAAGAGTTTTCTACCATTTCTTCTGAGCACCAATCACCGCTTCAGAACTCACTTGCTGATATACTTTTGTGAGTCGCTCTCCTAAAGGACTTACAGGGAGATCAAAACCCTTCATAAGTTTCACAACCACACGCATTGGGGCGACAGATCTCTTAAACACTTCATTGTTTTAATTGGACGATAGGACTGTTGATACGGAGCAAATCAAGCGCTTAAAGTCTGAACCAGAGTCAGCGAAGAGTGGCAGAGAACCCATCAAGCAGCACAATTTGGATTCTGAAAAAAACAAGCTCGCCACGTCTGGGACTATTAGGACAAGTGATAAGCTTAATGGCAATCTTGTTAGTCCTGCTCCTGCTAATGCCGTTAATAGAAAGCATCTGCAGCAGAAATCCGACCAAAATCGAGGCCAGGTAAGCAAGTCATTCGCTCTACTCACAAAATGACATTTTAGGCTTATTATCTTGGCTTTTAATCGAGATTTCCCAATTACAAATTTCAGCGCTTCGATATCAACCGGCATTATCCAAACCCAGGAAATAGGAGGTCTCAGCTTCACGATAGAAACGACAATGTGAGTGCTAAACGCCCCAGAGTCATCTAATTTCCTTGCGAAGGTAGTTAATATGGTTGTTGTCCCCTCTTTACAGCGCACGCACACCAACAACTCAGGTCTTTTAAGTTCGCGTCCCGCGGGTGGCATTATAACTCGAACCCTACAGTCACCCCAGCAACAGGCAGCAAGTACTTTCCTCCACCAGGCTCGCATGATGGCGCTCCTATCGTCACGGCAATCAGGGGTCCGTGTGGGGCCACAATCACCACATCAATGTGGTCTTATTGGATCTGGTCCGACGTCAGGTCAACAGTGGTCGATAATGGGGGGTCCGCCACGCGCTCCCCAATTTGGCGGTGGAGGGGGTATTTGTTGTCGTAATTGTGGAATGCTGAGCGCTCCCGGTGTTCCATACTGCAGAAGCTGCAGGGCGCCTATTCGTTGAAGTGAATTCACTTTCCAGACTGTAACGCGCTCCCTTTTTATCTCTGAGTAAATTAACAGTGCATTTGCTTATTCGAGGCTATTGTTTAAATAATCGTTGAAAACTCACTAAGCCTGGTACCAGTTTTGCGAATTTAAAGCCTTGGAAATGAGACTTTTTGAGAAGAGTATATATGGACTCTTGCTTTTGCTACAAGAATCCATTCATGTTTTCTCCGCTACGCTTGCAGGTTCTGTTCTTGTCGACAAACTCTTCAACTTTAAGCTTTAGCATCCTTCTAATGGATCTACGGAGTGTTCATTCTTAAATAATTTTCATACTTTGGCAGGCCGACGCCTCTAGCATCTAAGTGTCTCAATCGGGTACATTTCGTACAGAGCTGTGCAAGTTCGGCTCCTCTAAAAGGTCTGCATTTACACACCAATGAAATGACTTACGTTACTCTGGTACATCTGGTAATCTTCAAAACGCGTAGATAGGGGCAGTGACTCCAAATGCTCCTCAAAACTGAATCGGTAACCTAGTGAGTTATCTCTAAGTTGGATTCTCACCGTCTTAAGTAGGCTTAGGTCAAGTGTCTGAATACCTTTGGAGCGACTAATCACAGTCTCGATACCTTTAGTTGTAATGCGCTTAAAAGTGGGGTTAAGGGAGTAGGGCTGCATTCTTACTCGACACCCGGAGAGTCGAAGGATCTCTATTTCGTTTAATTGAGTTGACATCTGGATCAGGCCGCGATCAGAGATGTGTTGGCAACCGGACAGATTTATGCTGGCTAGGCGGGGCAGATTTGTGCACCATTCTAATACCTTAAACATAATAGTGAAGTAGTTTGTTGAAAAGAGCAACAAGGTCGCAGTGTCGTAAGGCTACTTTTAAAGTATTTTGGTGCTCAATCAAGCTGTGTGTCTATGTTGGATGGAAGCAGTTCTCGGATCGTTGTTTATGATGCGTAAACTGGGTGAGCGATAGACTTTCGGTAGGTGGCTGGGTAGCACTGATTCCACAAATTGTGATTCCAGAATTTTTGCACCTGTATGAGATCACGAATGGAAGATCAGTCAATACTTTGCCAATTTATGATAGGAGTAGCTTGATTTTTTCCCCAAGTTGTCGATAGAGGTCGTGTTAGTTGCTGTCGCTGGTGATTTTTAAAAATATTCGGATTGCAGTCGACGAATCTCATCGATTTAGCGAAATTAACGTGGCGGCATCTGCGCTTCAACCGCACTACAAGATGTAACTCCTTTACCTGGCCTAAGTGCGTCCTATAAAAGCAACTAAAAGGCAGTTTTATTTCCTCGCATCAAGCCGTTGGGGAAAGTCATGCTCGACAGCGCGAAATTGTTTGGCAATCCATCGCTTTTACCGGATATCAAAATTTGAAAATAAATGATACTAAACGTTACATGCTTACCGTATCGCTCAGGCGCGTTCTCGAAAAATTAATCCAACGCATATTTTTGCAGTTTCTTACTCCAATCATGGCCTCATCTGTTAAGGCGATGCATCCTTCCAAACTCAAGTAAGACAAATACACTAATCTGCGGCCCATAGGAAGGAAGTTAATTCCCACTTACCTTTTCATAAGAGCCGATACTCCATTGTTTGTGAGCTCGTAGCAGTAAGCCAGATAGAGTTCCTGTAGCCTGTTGGCATAACGCGATCCACATATCAACGTAGCGCATTTATCCGTTAGACGATAGCAGTGCGAGAGATTAAGGCATCGTAAATTCTCAAGTTTCATCAGTCGTTCAATCATTTGGTCTTCCATCTAACCACATTTTAATAACAGACGCTTACGTTGGGGCAGTTGACAACAACCAGTTTAGTCAATTTTTCAGGGTATAGGCATCCGAAATCGAAATCTTTGAGGTGATCATTACCATATATGCAAAGGCTTTTAAGTTCGGCATTCCGTGCGTTGGGGGTGAAACCTTTGCCTGTAAGTCCTTTTGTTTGTATATCCTTATTTTTTAACTGTAATATTTGTTTCCGAATCGTTGACTGCTTCATGGGCGTTGCACATTGTCTCCATTCAAGGCTCTCCAGTGCAGTTCGTGAGCTAATCACCTGCAATTCTACATGATTCCATACAATGAACTAACCTTTAAAATCCCATCAGTTAGTTGAGGCAAGTCATTTAAGATCCACTTTCGGACACCACCCATGGTCTGAACAAAATTGGTAAAGCCAAACGACGTCACCTAGAGTCCGGAATGATATCAGAAATGAAAATGGTACCCTTGAGCAGCCAGAAAGGTTGACGCTTTCCAAAGAACTAACTAACTGAGATCCCTCGAAGAAACGTAATCCAATGTCGGTAATTGTTGTACAATATGCAAGTGAGAGCCAAGTGAGTTTTTCCGCATGTCTATTATATTTTTAAGGAAAGAGGGGTGGAGCCTACTGCGTCAGTTTGCTGAGAGCCTCGTCCGATATTGGAGTGTGAGAAAGATCAAGTTTAATTAGGTTCAGACAGACACGGAGGAGAGACTCAAGTATTTCATCCTAGGAGAGCAGTGGATCGTATGAAAATAAGTGCGACATACAGTCACGTTAGGGCAGTTGGTCAAGTTGATGTTTTGTAGATTGCTACACAGCGCAAGTGCTGCGAGTCCGGATGCAGTAAGCAATGAACAATTGGCAAGGCTAACTTTCCTTACTTTCTTCTTACGCTGATGCAGCAACTTTAGTAGCATTGAATCGGTAGCACTGCAGATAGACATGAAGGAACTATAAGGCATTGAGAACTCATAACCTAAATGCAATATATAGTAAGGGAAAAGTAGTGACATGTTTTGTCAGGATTAGCAGTAGTTTCCGGTTCAGTTTTTCGTACTTGGATGGCATGACATCCAGCAATGCGCCTCCCGCCTGAGTCTATTGACATCCTACTCATTAGGAAAGACTCGAGACGTCATAATAATTTTGCTAAAACGGTAAATCCCAAGCTTTAGCTAAAAAATCTCTAGGAGTTTTCCAAAGCATTACACAGCGTGCTGGTGAAGTGACGATATCAACTTGAAACCAAACTTCGTTTTAATAAATGCAGATGCGTCCAAATGTGAATTTGAGTTGAAAATGGTGAATAAGCAGGTACGGCCAACATCAATGAATTCACTACGAAGTGACTCTTGGAACCATAAGTTAGAGTTAGCAACTAAAAAATAAGCGTTGATTTTTATAGTAGTTATCTTTCTTCCGAGTACTGTCTCAAAAGGATTAGTAAAGGCAGGGTCAATGAAACGACCTTCGTATAAACTCTAAGGAACGGAGTTCATAAAATCCAATCTATTTTTGTAAATTAAAATTACTTTCAAAGACAATTTCAACTGGAAGTCGAGGAGGGGAATGAGATTAAAGGTAAGTAGCCACAGAAAGGTGATAAATGCAAATGAGTAAAACAGATCAACTTTAAGGACTTTGGATACACCAAGGAAAGCAAGACCAATTAATCTAACAAAAGTTTGAATGCATCAGAGATCTTCCATAAAAACTAATTCAGCTCTCCGAATTTCCAAGTTTACTAACTGCTGCATGAACGTACCAATTGGGAATTTTGGAAAGATCAAGGACGGATGCAGCCGCGTTAAGGTCCACTGCTACTTTCCAGGCTTGATTCACCAGAGCGCATCTTGCAAAATCAATGGGTGTCAAGTAGAAGAAGATCTAAGTGCATGGATTAGCAGCCAGAGCTAAAATCCTTGCCTTCCTTTGAACGTTATTCGGCAATTCAGTAAACCAATCTCTTTGGGACTGGCGGAAACCTCCCGGTAAAATCTAGGATTTTTCAGGACAATTTCAGATTACTGATCGCAGTTAGAAATAAAGTGGTTAATACCTTGAAATGAGGTGCTTACTTGGCTATCATTCAATACGACGGCCTTTAGTGCCTGGAAAGGCATGGTCAAGCGAACGCTTCTCCTCACTTCCATCATTATATTTGTGAATGCTGTTGAGGGCGATAAAAACTAAACTTTGTACATGGAGAGTTTCTTGATTGTGAAGAAATGACAGAAGCATCGCAACACAAAGCCCAAACCAACCAATTAAAGCATAAAATCCCCAAAATTTACTTCAAACTTGGTTGCCTTTAAGGAACTTTAAATACTGAGGCGACAATTAACAGATAGCCTTCGTGTTTAGGGAATGTGTGTCAATAAAAACTTTTGAAATGGTTAAAGATGCACAAGTGGTATAAAATGCCAACCTTCGACAGCCAATCTTCGCCTCTGTACGTAATTGCCCCACGCAGAGAAAAATTTCGCCGTCGTTTTCCGCACATAGCAAATCTGAGCTGCAGTTGCCTGATCGACTGATGATTCAGCCTCCTCTGTGGTCTTAACCAAACGCTCCCACGTTCTTTAAGCAATACACCTGTTATATCCAACAAATAACGCTTTCCTCTACCTCTCCACATTTCAGCGCTCACCTTAGACACTTTCTTTGGTTATTTCTCTTTGAGAATTCCCTTGCTATGGCCATTTTCCATGGAACAACCGGTGGGGCAAGGTGGTGAATCTTTCCCACCGAAAGAAAAATAAACAAAGGTAGTGAAATGGTTTGACACAGCGGAAAATTTCAATTAAATCTGAAGGTGGGATAATTTCGGCTTAGTTTATTAGTTATAGCTTATTCTAAATGAGTGTGAGGAAATGGATCGACATTGGTAATGCGTGATTTGAGGTGAATTGTGAGGTTCCTCACACAAATAAATGCATTTTCAATGTGAGAAAGGTCGAAACAAATTAAAATTGGATTTCTGAAAACCAACCTCACATCAGCCTTTCATGTGCGTCTGGTCACCTACCATATAATCGCGGTAGTTGAAGCGCATCAAAGGCCTTATATTAAGAGGCCGCATGTGCGCAGGAATGAGGACGTCGCTAAACGTGGTTTGTAAATCGTTTGAAATTGGACTACCTGCCAAGCCGAGAGAATGGGATAGAGGAGAGGACCCTCAGATTATCCTTTAGCCATTCTCGAGGCTTTGCAGGAAGGAGAACACAGAGACCACCTAATAATGCCTAGAGAATGTGGACAAGAGACTTGTATTGAAATGTGAATGGGAAAAATTGCAGTTAGAGACATTTTTTGGACTAGCTAACTCATTCATTACCGGAAACGTATGCCACGTGACTCCTCAGCCTTCACAAACAATTTTCGATCCTATAAGTGGATGACATGCTTTTAATTAGTTTTTTTTTTGGCTTACTCCAAGTGAACCGATCGAACTAGCTAGCCATTAACGCCAATTTAAAAGACGTCTGCAGTTGAATCCTCCGGCTTTAAAAGGGGTTAACCTTTCTCTTCTCTTTTGTTATAGTGACACTTATCCCCATTTTAAACGTATTAACAGTGATCAATGAACATACATTGGTAATATACGCATTTGAAACAAATCTACGAATGTTGTCTTAATTTAGATCATAAAGCTTCAGCCCAAACTCAGAGAAATATCCCAGTGGGCACAAAACCATTAATAACATTGTCAATACATTGAACTGATTTGTTACTTACCTCGAATATTTCCATGATGTGATGTCGCTGAAAGTACTCTTCTAGAACCACTTTCTCAGCATCTTTAAAATTTGCCAAGGGGTTAATTCTAGCCTGAGGAAGAGAGTCAGACACAAAGTCAGTTTTCCCAGTGCAACCGAAAGTCTAACTAGATGACAGTGGTTGATAAATTGGGGAATGGCGGTGCGCCAAGATAGGTGCACAGTTAAGCGTTGGCTTTCAACGGATATGTGGAAGCCCCTTGACTTTGAAAAAGTTATTTTAATTGGTAGACAGCACGGATGGCCTCTATCCCAAATTCATCCAACATTATTTTCAAAGCAAGACTGACTGTGAAAAATCGTTGATTTTATGGTTGGAATAAATACATGTGAAGCTGCAAGTGGAATTCCTACAGGAAGATATTTTGGTCCTGCTTCCCCCTGGAAGCTTAAAATCCCTTCAACGCCGACCGATAATCACTTGAAATTCTCAACAATAACATTGAGGTGCCAACTTATAACAATTGTACGGAGTTTTCAAGGCGCATTGTGAACTGTGGAACGACACCAGTACTGTGTTAGGTAGACACTCTTTTAAGAGTAATTAATGCTTTCGATAGAGAAAACGTGTGTGAGTAATTGTCCACTAAGAGGATTTACTCGTGAATTTGCAAATCTTCAATTTATGCATACGCTAAACCTTTGCATGCAATTAGCAAGCAATGAAATGAGTTGTCCTTCTGCACATCCGCCATTTGTGCCACCTTAGTACTTTCTGACTTACCAACTTAGCATACACTTGTAAAAAAGTCAAATGTGGGATTCATGCAAACATTTTTGAGTAACATTTATAGTCTTGTTTGGAAAGGTGGGAGTCCTCCAAACACGACACACAGAGATGTAAGGCGAAGAATGGCGGCTTGTCATGTGTAAAACATCAAGTCTGCCTTCATATAGTGCAACCAGTGTGCAGCATCAGAAGAATCATAAAGTTCAAGAGGTGTATTTAATTCATTTCATTATTTATTCAGGATAGATTGTACGCGGCATCTTATTGACAAGATAGAATTCAACCTGCTCAAATACCGCTTCCTCTTCCCTTTCTGCGTCCACACTAAACGCCCGAGGGCCGTAATACTCGACAAGCTCATCTCGATGGCCGGCGTGGCGGGTTAACTTGAGGCTTACTTCGCATTCTGCCATACCTGGAGGGCGCCCCACTCGGCCTACCGTGCACTCCAACACGGGCGATGGCGACGGGAAAGGAAGCGCACGGCAAAGATCGTAACGTGAGCCCGTCACCATATCTACCCGGCGCATGTTTAGGCGTGCTGCCGCATCAATGTGACTAATGTTAAGGAAAAAGACCCGATTTGGTGCAAGGTCTGCCTCGTCCAGCATCTGTGCTTGCTGACGTGTTCGCGGGAATCCAAAGAGGACCCAGCCTTTCAGAGCACAGTCGAGCTCCGAAAGACGTGCTTGCAGTAGTTTGACCACCATCTCGTCAGGAACTGATCAAGAATGCAAAAGTAGTTAAATATCTACCCTCTATTTGGAAACTGTACAAGCTTTGAAGCTTCACTACTTTCATCCTTCTTTTCAATTAGGCTTAGTGACCGACAAATTGGCTTTAAAATTTTTGCAACAAAAACTACGATGGGAAAAAATTAATGCTTCGATGTAGAATGCAGATATAAATAAAAAATGGTTTAAAGACATTCCCAGGAAGAATATCAAGGCATATAGGGTGTATGGTGCAATTTGCATTGAAATGAAGTCTTAATAGGTTTATCATTTTGGATGAGCACAAATTTCGGTAAATGAGGAAATAAGCAGAATGGATATAACATGAAGCTGTTTAAATGGTTGAAAGCAGGAAAAGCAATTGAAATGCCGTACAGCACATTATGTGACAGAATTTAAAATTTAAGCTAACTTTTATTTTAAATGGGTGAATTCATAGAAGTAAATTTTAGCTGCAGAGTTATTAACAATAAAGGTACGTGCCTAGATTTAGCACGGTACTGATGCAGTACATCTTTTAACTTTCATAAACACAAACTTTAGAAGCATATCTACTTATGGCATAGCATCTAATCAAGGTCAATCAAGACTCAGTCGATTTCAGCCGAAAAGCGGTCTATATTTTCACCCTATTAACTAAAAATGTTCGCCTTTGCGTATTAAGTAACGCGTTTTCGTTGCGCAAATATACTTTGGTAAAATATGGCACAATAATCATTCCAACCTGAACTATGAGCATCAACATATATTTTCATTGCTTTGCCGAGTTTTGTATCTCTTATAACTTCTCTGCGGATAATACTTCCACAATGCACAGGTATGAGTTCGTAGCGTTTCGTCAGTTTGCGAGCAATGGTTTTGCGTCCCGAGCCCGAGAAGCCGAGGAGGAGTACGCGTGGTGTCCACATGGCCGGATTACGTACCGGTCGAGAAAGAATGCAGAGGGCCTGGGAGTAAAGGTCGGAGAGAGGTTGATCTCCTCGAAGGTTCACAATACTGTCCGCGTACATTTGGCCGACCGCAATAAAGTGGTGCCTAAATTCCGCGATGCGACGATCAATTTCAGAAGTGTCGTCAGCCGAAACCAGGCGACTTTCGATTTCCGGATCAGATGGAGGATTGTAGAGCTTATGATAAGGTTCTACAGATTGAAAAATAATTAACAAACTTCCGTAATATCCTTATATCCTTCGAAACTTTTGTATCATAAATAGAAAACGCAATGGTAATCGGAAAATGAGAGTTCACTGCTTAACGTAATCAAAACAAAATGGTGTGTTGATTAGCGCTTATAAAACAAAAAGCTTTATTTTCAATAAAAGTCGCTAAACGCGTCTCAAACAACATACATATTGAGAGAGTCTTATAAAAAATATATGGATAAAAAGCAAAAGAACTGAGAAATACCTTTGGTAAGTCTGTCAATGACTTTTTCGCGTGCTCTATCTCGAAGGACATTGTCTGGAGCGTCCAAAACAACTAGTAAAGTAAATAAACTCAAAAGCTATAGTAATTACTAATCTTCTCCGGAAATATGCCAAATATTTGCAGAGCCTTTCCTTCCTCTCCAGTTCCCGGAAAGCCAGTCAATACATAACCCGTTGTCTTGCAATCTTTCTCCGAAATTCGCCTTCTTAAGTAATCAGCGTAGAAAATTGAACCTTCGTTATTCTGTCTGATGAGATTATCTTCTGCTGCTTGCCGCAGTTCTCTCACAGGTATGTGAACACAATTCAGTTTGCGAGCCACATGTTTTCCGAGTGTGTATTTGCCAACGCAGGGTGGTCCGAGGATAAAAATAGATGGCTCTACGCTTTGCAAACATCAAAATCTAGGTTTACGATTAAGTGATTCAGATTTAAGTACGTCAATGAGAAATGTTATGGGGTCAGGAGGTCTAGAAATAATGAGACGCTTTAAGAGCTCCTTTGAGTCAATTTGAAGCTAGAAATCAAACCCTCTGTATTTCGAATAGTGAGTGTTTGTTTGCGTAATCAACAAAATGCGGTGGAATATGAATGGGTCTTCCCAATCTATCCATTTAAAACGTAAATAGCATTGTCACCGTGGCCGCAGGCATTAAAACATTAACAACCGTTGCCATAGCTGATTGTTAAGGAAACTTTCGGTAAAATACAAAATAGACTTATAAAATAGTACATTTTACATAATAACAATCGCATGGATAGGGAACGATTATTTTAACGTGATTAAAGACTTGACTTTTTATATTAAATGCATCCATAACTCGATTTTTATGCTTGATAAGTCATTTTGCTTTTATGAAGCAGATTCGGCAGTATGACACTAGCTAAAGTCAGCTAAATGGCCTAATGGATTTCAAATAAAATTTGAATCCGTAAATATCGTCTTGTTTTATAGCTGAATTGTTCATGGGTACCAATGCATGCAATCGTAAAAGTTATATGGAAGGCGAACTCTCTTACGATTGGAATTCGGTGCTCTAAAGTGGCATTTTATTAGCTCTGGTCTACTGTAACTCTTAGCTAGCGTTGCAACAAAATCATTTTAGACTTCTTATTAGGTGAATGAATGCATGCATTTAGAAAGTAAGGAGAGAAATATGGCTTTCACACCCGTACAATAGCTAGGCTAATAATCAAGTACCCCCACTTATGCATATAGCCGCATAAGCCAGTTATTACAGCCTCATTCTTAACGAGGCTCTCAGGGTGACTAACTTGGTGCTTCAAGCGATAATAATTTTAAACATATCTCTAAATTTGATCAAGGTTATTCTTATGGTTCAGATTGGTTTTTTAAAAGGCATCATTTGCCAGAGCCACGCTGTCTGTAAAAGCATAACGGCCATGACTCAGACTAGCCCTACGCTGAAACACCATTGAGCAGACGACCAACGCATTACAATATTAATGAGCTTGCCGAGCTAAATTAAACCTGTTATTAATTTCTACTAAAAAGGCCAAGCAATAGAATTGGGAAAATAATCAAGAGGAAATTGTCGCAAAATTTTCCAGTTTAAGTCCACTGGTGAAACTATTGCAATAAATGTTTTATGCTGGTACATTAACATAAAAATAAATCGTGGAGATTATGAGATTTTGGCTCGGCATTTCGGCTCCGGTTGTCTGTAGCGGATTTTTATTAGACAAACAGGTCATTAAGACGATTTCCTTTCCTTCATTATTTCCACTTATAAGGGCGAAGCCACAGACTCAAAAAGCGATTATTTCGATGCTTGTGCATCAAGAGCATTTTATAACCCGTTGATTGTCAAGATTTAAATTTAGTAATAGCCGAATTTGTCTCTCAACTACCATAAATTCAACGAGTGAATAGGGTACCGAACCGTGTTATTAACCGCAAAACCTTCCTTTTTTCCTCCGAAACTCTTGTTTTTCTAAAGAGTAATCCGGCAGCAATGCATATTGCCACATAATTTGCATGTGATTTATAGCTTCTGTAAAATTTCTACACAAAGTAATGAGTATGGAACAGGCCGGAAGTTACTTAACCCTTTTGCAATTAAATACTATATAGTCTACGCGAGGGCAAAAGAGCTGTAAAATCCCTTATAATGCAATAAATAAGAGTTGAGACACGCATTGTCAATATAATGCCACTATTTTCAAAAATGGCTAAATTATTGCCATCATGTGAGTTTGCCTTGAGGTTGATCAAATGTATCAATACAACCTTCACCTACGTAACCAAATTCTTCCAATTTTAGGCAATGTATTCTTAATGTATTTTTAATCCTCCGTAAGTCATAAAGTGTGCTTTCAGGACAATACACCTGATACATTTACACATTACACTACTATGAGTTTAGGGGCCACGATTCCTCTATAGACGAATGAGGATAAAATGCCTGAGCAAAACGTAAGCGCTGGTTGTAGTGCAGAGCTATAGACAATCGCGTAAGATAGAGCATTTACGTGCCCCCTTGTGGAAACGAAGAATCGAACGAAAGGCCAACACATCACAATGGCCGTTAACTCTTGCATTCACTTACTTACCCACGAATAATATCCAAATAACTTTCAGAAAAAGTAGAAAATTGGCTGAGTGGCTACACACTTCGACATATCATTTACCAATTCCAAGAACTTATTCAGCCAAAAGATCATTTTGAAAATAGTTGTTAATTATGAGTGGTCTGATTAAAGACAGAGTCGTTCTTTTTACCTGTTAAAGTACCCGGCACAGCTTAGTAGGCATGGCAAATTGTTTATAAAACTGCATTTTTGAGAATCAGTTCCTAAAACCACCAATGGCTGTAAATATTTGCCCTCCTTATTAATAAAGCCAATGATTTTGAACAATGAGGTAAGAGCTAATTCCGTTTTTGCTGATTGGAACGATGTATAAGCCGGAAATGCTTCAAGTACACTTTTGACAAGTAGTGTTTGAACAAATTTGCAATGACTTAGAATGGTCAGTATCCAAGATTGCACTGTCAAGATTCTAAGAGAATTATAAGGCTGGACGAAAATAGACAACATCAACAAACGAAACTGATGCTTTGGAAACGGAAAGGTCAGTCGTTCTTGTGCAATGTGGGTTTGGAAAGGCGTGTTTTAAAGTGGATTTCGGTTGTGAATTTCATGGTTCACTTTGTTGGAGCAGTATTTTCAAGCCAACTCCAAGATCCGATTACGTGGTCGCAACTGCCAATGCATCGACACGCCTGATTGCGTTCACGTGCATTCTGTGTGTTGACACCTGCTGGGCCCTCTCACTCCCCTCCCATTAACAGGTGACGTGGGATTTTGTTAGTACGTGCACCACTTTGTTTATGCTCATCTTGTTGGCCCCACACCCTCCAACTACAGGACATTTTTGTCTGTAAAGTGCCTAGGACGCATTACGTACAGCAGAATATTTGATGTCACCTTTAAAAATTTATTACATTGTTACTGACATGCTCCAACAGTCGAAAACTGGTGTGTGCATAGATAGGTAGTACCACCCACCCTAGGCAATAAAACTAGGACACTTCAAAGTAATGTTGGCGAAGGATTTGGATATCTATGCCCTACCATTTTTATAACTTGCAATGCTCTAGTTATCCAACAAAAATCGCAAGGTATTCCACATACCTACAAATTTTTATGCCTTACTACTCTGGATTGTGGACATCGAAGGCTTTTTTGAAGCGTTCAAAGCACTTCGCATACAAATGTTTACAAAGCTTCGAAAGAGCAAAGCCTAAGTACCACAAATCCACCTGTATTTTCTGCTTTCGTCTAAGCCAAGGCATTTCGGATGTGTAGGGAGTCTAACCAGTACCTCTCCTGAAATGGAGAAGCGTAATCATAAAAAGCAGAGCTCTTTGGGCAATGATGAGTTAATAAATACTTCGTTAGCAATTCCAGTCACAAACGGAGACTTAAGCTCCTTCAAAAGAAACACTATCATTGCCAGTACACTTTTGTTCGTTGTTCCGTCAAAATGAACGATTCGTGTGAAAGCGACATCCGACTTTAATATTCGTCAATCGGATGAGTTTAAAATAGAGGTGCCAAATGAAAGGCAAAGTTGCGGATGATTTAAAAGCCTATCGAGTGGCCATGGGACATGTCCGTGACGAAGAAAGACATAATACTCGGTCAGGAGAGATGGATTCGGCATACGGAAAGAACTGAAACTAAGAGCATGACCCGCAGTTCAGTCCACTTTCGAAGATGCAATGGTGAAGCACCAAACAGCGACCTGGAATCGACTAAATACCGGTCCCATTACTCTAATATTGTGTGTAACGAGCCTCCATCCAGATCTAGACATGCAAATTTATCTTGCGAACTTTTCACTGAGAGCGTTTAATGCTGTGTGTCTACGATGCACGCATAGGGCATTCTAAGGTTTAAACACTTCTAACATTCAGTACGTGAGACACCTGAACATTAACAAATAACCTAATGTCAGCTTCGTCTCAACAGAGAATCTTCCAGTGGAAACTATCAGGGAGAACATATTGCGAAAGCTTGCGATTTCAGGACGGCAAGGCTCAGTAGATCAAGAGTGAAGACAAAGTGAATTGGGCCGTTTGAAAGCGTCTCAGTAAGACCTACACATTGAAGCTTTCAACTAGTGAATAGTTCAAAATTACTGGGACTCGTGCTTATAGTTAGCTGAAACGCAGACCTTAAGGAATTCAGACATAGAAATCACCTAAACTCAGTTATTTTACAGGAATAAGGTAAACGAACGGTAAGCCAAGGCCAAAAAACCGTCTCCAGAACATGGAAAATTTTTCCGCGTCAGGCGTGAAATGTAATGCCATGGCTCAATACACCTTCCATGTCTTTACAATTCCTGCAGACTCTCTCCACTGGAACAATTGCTATGCTCACAGCATTTGTACATTGTCAGTCTCTGTCCTGTTGTAAATGTAGTACGACTTGAAAATATTGTATTCACGCATCATTAGAGTAGTATCAACCATCCTCGTACTAAATCAGGTGTGTTATTATCTGTTGATTCGTGAAGTTGTACAGGTGAGTAGAAAAAAAACTTTTGTGCCAACTGCGTACTGTGCAGCTAAAAGTAAACATTCTGACGGCCCCCATAAACAACCGAGGGAGCATTAATGGATGTTTACTGTAGTAACTTTTAGCTTGTCAATAACAGGAGTAAAATTAACGATATCAGCGATCCCAGAAGAAACAGCTATGGGAGAAAAACCAACGAATGCCAACGCCAGGTCAATACACTTCCACAGCTCACCACCTATTTTCCTACCTGAAGCGTCGGGCTCATCCTTCATGGGCTTTACAATGACGACGTCACCAAACTGCTTCTTATGCACACCAAGACCGAAAAGTCAAGTGAACTAGTTTGCGTCTGGTAAACGTTGAACGTTTGGAAAATTCTCTGCTAACTTTTTTGAAAATTAGTGGAAAATCTGAGTTTCACTTAGGCTCGCCTCCCCACAAATACGTTTGACGCCTGATCAAAGATGGCGCTCTGTTGTTTGCGGCTATCCCGAGTCGCCCTTTTGCCATACGAATTGAAACAAAACGACATTTTGGAACGAAAACCGTTTGCTCTACAATTTGCCAAAAGTAATCACGATTAATTTTAACGTAGGCATTAAGAGAATTTAAATTGAATAATGTC